CACCCTGATCAGTGGAGGTAGCACCTGTTAGGTTCCCAGCTATGGGCAAATAGTTAAAAGAAAAATGAAAGGATAAAAAATACCACCAAAAATTTACATAATAAAAATATTACCAGCAATACATTTTTTATAAATATAAAATTTACCAGCAATACGTTACTGTAATGAATAAAAAAAAATATTACCAGAAATACATTGAAAAGAAATTACTAATGCACCCAAGAAAATTAAATTTCGGCATTAAATGACCCATAAGGTGTTGATATGCCGTCAAACAAACAAACAAGTATCACCTATCTTAACAAAATTACTGCTATTACAATGTGGAATGTGTAAAACCACCAGCAATATGGTGCGAATATAATATAATATCTACTGATGCATTTGCGACCTACCGTAAATGACAATGAACTCTACCAAACAACCCACTTACGGCCTACAGCAATTCATTCCTCAAACTACATACAGTGTTATTTTGACCTAAAGAGTAGGGTATTTAATTTGTATTCATAAAGGAGGTATTTATGTTATTCCATTGTAAAATAAACAAGCTAACGTCAGACAAAATAATTCTAACCCATTTAGTTTATCACACTAGCACTATGATGGGCTGACTTTTGGAAAATAAATTCAATTGAAGATGAAGCGGTGTCCTTTTTAAGAGTTAGGGTTTTTAAAATATTTCATACGTTTAACAGTTGGTAAATATCATATCATAGTAGAAAATGAATAGTAGATATCATACCATAGTAGAAAATGAATAGTAGATATGTTACTATAGTAGAAAATGAATATATATAAATTTAATGCCTCAGAATGCTTAAATTGTTTTAAAAAACAGTTTAGTGTTCATTTGTTTAAATCAAGTCGACTTTCGACCAGCATTTCTTCAGGGACCAACGTTGGCAAAATTATTGTATCAAAATTGGTATGAATGAATAATATGGAGAAAGATTTGGAGTGCGTCTAAAACAGGTAAATTAACGATTAAAATATACGTAAAATCAAATGTTGTAAATACTCCAATGTGATTGTAAAATATGAAAGAAATCAATACTCACAATCCTTCAAACAAATTGCAGTACGATCAATATATACATATACATACAGAAATCTACAGAAAAACAGATTTACTTTCGACAGACAATTCCTTCCCCATATTTCGTTTAATGTCATTAAACGAATATTTCAATCGTTTCGTCTTTTAGCTTCAGATGATTTCAGCATTACCTATTGAAGACTAGAAAGGATGCCGATGTGGAGTATATAAGACACTCTGGTAACACAATTGAGCAAAGCAAGACGCCTTAAATAAAGAACTCAAATTTAGTCAGAAGTCCGTTGGTGTCAGTCGGAGTTCTAATGACGTCAGGGCGAGTAACCTAAGCAAGACAATATTATAACCGCTAGGAGTGACTTATAACAATGTCGACGAGGAATCGAAACTCAT